CAGATTGTTGGTTTCGGAATTTCTCAGAAAAACTGTCAGATGCGAACTCCCAAATTCAGTGAGAATGGTTTGCAGTAAAGATGTTTCAGATGCTGTTTGACCATCTGACAAGCACTCTGTTTGAAGAGAACTGTCACATTGAAAGGTTGACGGCTCATGCTGTTTGCCCCGTTTGATTCTATGGTCTGTCTAAAAGTATCATCACTTTTCAAGATGTCATCTTTGACATTGTGAGTAAAATGGTATCAGAGCAAACAGTGTCAACTTAAAATGTTTGAACAGGGATGATGCATTATTACCAGCAACTGTAGATAAGATAGCTCCTAATGTTGCAGTGTTTCCCCTAGCATTGTCTTGGAGGGGCGCTCCGCCCCGCCAACGGAGCCCCGCCAACGGAGCCCCCGCCAACGGAGCCCCCGCCAACGGATCCCAGCCAGCGGAGCCCCGCACCCCCCCTGAAATTCAAGGTGTTTTAAAAAAAAAAAAAGAATAAAAATGTAATAATTTTTTTTTTTTTTATTACAGTAATATAGCACCAAATTGCAACTAATCTAGTTTAGTGTTTTTGACCCTAAGAAACACTGACGCATTAATCAATAACAATAATCCACAGCTCATCTCTCTGCTCCAGAGGATTTAAAAAATATATAAGAAGGAGAATTGGTTTATAGAGAGTCTCCCGGCACCCCCTCCTCGCCGAAGAATAAAGGGATTTCAGGAGGTCTGTCTCTGTATGTCGTGAGACCTTTTGTCGCGCCACTTGTCCCTCGACTTGTCGCCGCAAAAGCCTCACGATGGTAGTACTAGCAAAACCCGATAAACCTCAGTTTGTGAAGAGTCTCTGTACCAAACATTATTATACCAGACTACTAATTATCATTTCTTCCTTTTTGTCACATATATGCCCTGGAAATTGTTTGGGGGGAAGGTCAGAATATACAATATTTACAATAATCTAAAAAAAAACAAAGACACCCCCAACACATCCACCACTATTCCTGCACCTCCTTTCCGTCCAAAGACTGAACGACCGTCTCGTCCGAGAGGTCACGGACCTGAAGTTCCGCCGGAAGTCGAGTAACCAGTCCTGGGAGTACCGGCCCAAACACATCTCCGGTAACCTTTTGGAACTTTGTCCGTAATCAATTGGCCTTCTTTGCTCCGCGTCCTTCGGACAGGCTTTTAGGATACCCCTGGGAAGAGGATCGAAGGAAAAAAAGGACACAAACACGTTTTGATGCCTTGTAATAGTGGCTAATAGGGCACGGTTTAAACGAACTTAAGATTGTGTAGTCCGGTGACTCGAGGCGGTCAAGTACAGAGTCCTTCCAATAAAAGGCAGATGAAAAACAGTGGGAAAATATTCAAGAGAAAACCGCAAAAGTGTTGGAAGCACACGGGGAAACCCCAAGGAAGGAAATACGGTTTCCTTTAGGCGCAGCGAGACGACAACGGGGAATAACCCTTTTATTCTAATAGTTAAACCGTGGTGTGAGAGTCTAAACATCGAGACCTATAATGCATGAGGTCTCTAGAAGGAAAATATATGTTGCAATAAACCGAGCCTCCCATTATGAAGGGTTTTAACATAAGTTACAAGGTTGGCTTTACCTTCATAAACCTTTATTAATGTGGGGTCACACATGTGTCCAATCAAAGGAAAGGGGTTGTGTCACTAAGGGATCCAAGTGACGAAACCCCCACGACAGACTCGCCCCCCCCCCCGTAACCTATATATAA